TGGATAAATGGGTGGCGAGGGGTCACCAATCACCAATCACCAGTGGGCAGTGTCCGAAAATCGTATCTTGGCAGAAGTGTAAGAGGAAAAAATTCCTAATAAAAAACGGGAATAGCCGGCTCCAAAAAATAGAAAAGGATCAATTGCCTACATTTCTATCCAGTGTGGTAAAGGCATGAAACAACAAGCCAACCCAATGTTGTTGTTTTTTGTAACATCGAGTGGAAAATTGTTCTTAATTGGACGAAAGAGTGTGAAAAACTATTTTCATTTTTATGTTATTAGCAAATTCTGGAACACGGCCAGCGGGATTGTGTGATGGTGGTGATGGTGTTAGGTGGTGCCAGGCGGACGTCTGTGACACCTCTGCCAGTGACGCTGACAGGGCCGGTGACGGAGCGATCAGCTGAGCTGGTGGAGTGTTGCGGCACAGCCTGCAGCCAGGCGGGGTGTACTGCGGCGCAGTCTACCGTCCGGCAACGAACGGATCGATAGAGACGGGTAGAGGCTCAGGAATACACAAACTCTAAACCAGGAGTCGGAGTCGGAGTCGGAGTCGACAGTTCTGACTGGAGTCTGAGTCAATTTCGGAGGCCGAAACTACGAGTGGGAGTTGGAGTCACCGAGAATCCATCGGCTCCGCAGGCCTGCTACAGCTGCGGAGTCCGACTCGAAATCGGAGTCAGAGTCAGGGTCATCGAAACGTCATTGACTCTGCAGCCCTGCTCTAAACCAACGCTCTATGGATCCAAGCCATTTACGGACTGGGAGCAAAAGTCGGAACCGTCCCCCTCTCCCATCACAGTCGTATCAACAAAGGTGAATCTGCAAATTCAAACAGTTCTAGATTGACCGAGTGTAAAAGATCAGTGACCGCTCACCAATGATATTGAACACTGACCAATGACCTCCGAACGATCCACGGGTCCCGCTGGTTTACGGCAGGAGGTGGGCAGGAGACGTTTTAGAAGTCGCGTCCGAGCCGCGCTTGTCGACCCGACACATGTTTAGCTAGATGGTATGATGGTTTTCTTATTCGCGGCTGAGTGCTTCTTTTTCTGTGTTTTATTGCCTTCTATTGTAAGCTTTTACCCGAGTAATTTTCATCAACATCGCTATTCGCTTTTATGTATATTATTATATTGTACATTATGTCTAAGCATAGGGACAGATGTTCGTGCTGTAGATAGGCCGTGCAATATCTTGTTCTGACTCTGTGGTGGTAAGAGCCAAGCAACTGCATGTTTGGAGACCACAACGATGCGCAACGCAATACAATACAATACAATACAATACAATACCGATGAACAGTGACCGATGACCAAAGATCAACGGATGGGCAATCGGTATTCCTCCGTGACCAATCACTCGACGCGAGCATGCATAAAAGAAAACCTTCCTGGATCAATCTAGCTGATGAGGAACACACAAAGAAAAAAAACACTCGGAGCCAATCTCGCTGATGAGGCAAACACAGGAAAAAAACTCGGATCACTCCATCTGCTAGGCACCAATAGTTTCTGCACGCTATTCGGCGATAACCTATACCGCGCCTGGCATTCCGTTCCCTCCCCCGAGTTGGCAGAGTGCCTCTGTTACCTGTGTCCCACGGCACGCGCGCGAGCCATTATTCCCTCACGACCGCCGGGACACGCAGAAAAGTACTCTGGGCCCCAGGACATGACCTCTGGGTAGGTCTCAGGGCAGCACGAGTGGCCAATGTAATGGGAGGTGTGTGGAGGTTTTGGACCAGCCCCACTGACCGCAATATGACCTCAGCGGAGCGGGAGGACCAGCCCCATCTCGGACCTCAACGTCACCTCTGAATGAGGGTGAAAGGGCAACCCAGTCAGACGGCCACAATACACATTGCGCGATAGATTTTAGCTCTGTTCCGGGTAGAAATGACCAGCAGGGACGGGTCTGTTTAGATTCCATCCAAAACAACCATACAACTTCTGGTGCGATGGCGGACTCTTTGCACTCAGCCACATATAGTTCTGCATAGCATGGCTAAACTTCCATTGATAAATCATGCATCTTTAATGACAAAAGTTGTTCACCACACTATGGATGAATGGGTCGTTGTGAGAAAACTTTTGATCAGGAGCGGGATGCATATTGGGGTCTGTGGATGCATCCTAGAAGCGAGGAAAATCATCCCAGTAGCAGCCCGCGGTTCCCTAAGCGCGGCACACGGTTTGTGAACAGTGCAAGGTTTGTGGAAAGTGCAGGGTTTGTGGAAAGTGCAGGGTTTGTGGAAAGTGCAGGGTTTGTGGAAAGTGCAGGGTTTGTGGAAAGTGCAGGGTTTGTGGAAAGTGCAGGGTTTATGAACAGTGCAAGGTTTGTGAACAGTGCAAGGTTTGTGAGCAGTGCAAGGTTTGTAAACAGTGCAGCTTGTAGGTTAGCCAGTCTGGACAGTACGAGTTGAGGGGTCGTTTCCATAAGATGTGAGCAGTTTGCTTCTCAAAACGCGTAATTGGGTTTCCAGAAGAGTGGGGTTCCACTTCCAGTGAAGGGTACAGGGTTCCTCGATCACAATGGCGTTCCAAAGACAATTCAAAGTTGCTGGAGGACAGAACATGGCTTCCAGGTGCGTAGCAAAATAGTAAATGACACAGGGTTCCGATTGGACACTGAATTAGAATCAACGGTACAAGATTCCCAGTGGACAGTATGGGGTTCTCAGGGTTTGAGCAGTTTGGCAGTTCAGGACTCCCGGTGGGGGTTCTTAGTGTTCCCAGCCGTCAGAGGCGACTTCCGTTGTGAACCATTAGGCGCCAGCTGGAGGGGAGGGGAGGGGAGGGGAGGGGAGGGAAGGGGGAGGGGAGGGAAGGGGATGGGGGAGGGGAGACCCGTGGCCACATATGGCGTCAGGAGACGCCCCCCCCCCCCCCTGGGACGACCCTCTGGCTGGGGAGGGACGGGGTGGGACGGGGTAGGACAGCCGGCAGTGGCACCGGAGTACACGGACACAGGGCAGGGTGAGAGCGGGCAGATTACCTCCTTTTGCATGCCCGGAGCACTCAAACGCTGGCCACTAGCCTCAGTGGAAGAGGTGGAAGAGCAACGAAACGCCTACTGACGAAACCCCGACTCTACCCACAATCGAGCTGAAATGAGTGAGCCTTTGGAATTTGGCCTCTCAAACACGCGCTCTAAGCATGAACCAAACAACAGAACAGGCGAAAGGAGGGACGCCGGTGAAAACAGGGCGCCGGAGGGCATATTACAGGGTGGGGCAGAAAGATTTACCTGTTTGTTTTCAGCCCATAACTCAAAAAGTTTTGGACGGATTTTAGTGAAATTTTGCATGCGGCTTCCCAACTGACTCGTGTATAATTTTTATGATTGTGTTTTATTTCGTCATGGTTGTTGATGAGCTATGGCGGAGATTGCAAAAAGAACCCAAATTGCGGCGCCGATGCAGGCTGGCCACAGCGTCCGAAGCGTTCCCAAACAGCTCGGTGTTGCCATAAAAACTGCTAACAGTATAATTAAATGCCTTAAAGGGACAGGTACGGTGTCGAGGAAGCCCATCCCAGGCAGAACAAGACATGTCCGCGCCAAAGAGCTGGTTGATATCGTGCACAAGATGGTGTCTCGAACTCCTTGGCGAAACATGCGCAAACTGGCAAAGGACCTCGATTTTTCGCCTAAAACGATCAGGAGAATCATAAACGATGATTTGGGCCTTGAGTCATACACGATGCAACGTCGACGCCTAATTTCGGCGGCATCCAAGGAGAAGCGGCTTCACATGGTCCAAAAGATATTGGAGGAAATCAGAAGCGCCGGTAGCAAGGTCTTCCTCTGATCTGATAAAAAGATTTCCACGGTTGAGCCCCAGATGAGCTCTCAAGGCGTCAGAATCTTGGCAGATGGTACATCCAGCATTGATCCTGCTATCCAGGCCAGTTTTGGTCGCTACAACCTTGCTGGTGTCATGGTTTGAGCTGCCGTCGCATCCGACGGCTCAAAAAGACCCTTGATCTTCATCGAGGCGGATGTGAAAGTCAGTTCACACGTTAATGTCCATCTGCTGGAGTAACATGCTCTGCCTTGGATCACTCAGTCGTTCCGAGACGGATACGTCGTTGTCCAGGACGTTGCGTCGTCTCAGACGGCCAACTTCACTCAACAGTGGTGCAAGACCCACATGCCTGGATTCTGGGACAAGGACATGCGGACACCAAGTCCAGACCTGAACCCGATGGACTTCACCACCTGGGCCATCCTGGAGAGGGAGAAGTGTGCAACACCACACAGCAGCATCGCCGCTCTGAAGCTGGCACTCGAGACGGCATGGTCGAATTTCGACGAAGACACCGTGCGGCGCTCGCGCCTCTCCGCAGGGAGAGGTTTCGGGGCAGGGGTGAAGACCAAAGGTGGTCAAATTGGTTCATAGTGCCGTTGCTGAGATGTGTACATGCTACTGAATACGTGTACCAAAAATCATTTGAATATCTTCGTTCTGGACCGAAATATTTTCAAAAATCAAGAGGTAAATCTTTCTGCCCCACCCTGTAGTCACGTGATATTTGGAAGTTCTCCCCCTTCATGGGCCTTCTACATGTAAAACATCACGTGTGAATTTCACGAACCTTGATCAAATCGCCCCAGGCGCCCTGTTTTCACCGTCGTCCGAAAGGAGCTCGGAGTCCAGACTGACAGAACCACACCACAACCCTGACCTCAAAACTATAACGGACCTATCGCAAACCACGGCTTGGGGCACATTTGGCGTCCAACGTCATCAAACTCACCAGTGAAGTAGCCAAGCATGTAACCAGCAAAGCTGAACATTGAACGGAGACGAAACACCGAATACGCGACAGGATCGAACCCGAGTCTACAGAATCTCAAATATGTCCTCGAAGATCGACGTCATCTCAAGGCAAAGCTAGGTAACTCAAACCCCAAAACCGACAGCAGCCTATCTGGAATCAGTCTCTGGGTGAATTTTTCAGTCTTACAGCCCGAAACACCACTCAACTCACCTGAGAAGCAGACAACATCTCGGGTGTGATGAAGGGCACCGCACCGGCCGCGGGCCACATGTTAGGACGCCCGGACCACGCGCACAGTCGCCGGGGGCCCGTCGGTGTCGACACCGGCGCGGTCCGCTCACAGGCACACCTCAGCCAGCGACTCCCGACTCACAGCGCCGGCAACGACTCCCGACTCACAGCACCGCCGGCGAGTCCCAGTCACACCACACCGTTACTTGAGCAGTCGAGCTTCACTCGCACGCACGCAACGCACGGCGCCCTGTCGCGTGAGCGTCTCGCGTTCCACGTTTGGCGTCTGGCGTCTGGCGTCCACACGCACGCACAATCGCTCAAACTCAGCCGGCGGCGGCGGCGGCGGCGCGGAGTAGCACGTGTTTGCGGCTCAGCGCCTCGGAAAGGAGCGAGCGCCGGCGCCGCTCCGACCGGTACAGTCTCTGACGCCGCAGCCGGGGACGGTATGTCAGAGAGTGTACCCGGTAAGATCAATGCCGCGTCCGCCGTGGGAGACTGGCGTCGGTGGGGGAAGGGAGGGGAGGGGAGAAATGGATGGGAAGAGTTGGCGGTCAGAAAAACGGATATGGGGCAGGCTGGAGCAGACCACCCTGGGAGTTGTGAATTGTTCCCGTGTGTCCAGTAAACGCCCAAGGAAATGCAGCGTCTCGCACCGACTACCGAGGCCAATGGGTTTCATGGGCTGTCTCCGTTCCTGAGGCGATTTTATCCGTTTTAGTTCTCCAGATTTAGGTAAGAATTCTCTGCTCACCAATGTTCACACATCAATGACGCCGACAAAACTTCCGCTCAGGTTTCCATGTTACATACAATATCCTAAAATCCGGAAATGACACCGATTTGCGGCTAGACTGTACCAAAAAAAAAACTCTGTATCGGTTTTCGAAGACTAGTGCCCCTTGTGACGTCATTTCGGACCCCTCGATGACGTCACCACTGTCAGACGGCCGATACTCTCACCTTGGTTGATGACACACAGGGATCGATGGTGGGATGATGGCAGCAACCGCCCCGGGTAAATGGTACATACCTGCAACGTAAGAAAAATATATTACAAAAAAAATCAGAACGAGTTATTACCGGAGCGGATACTAGACACAATGAAACGTGCCAAGACATGTCGCAATGCGAGCAGCTTCCGTCCAACATCAAGGGAACGGAATACGATAAATAAAAACCGTACGTGATATTGAGAATCTGTGTCAGGAAACGGTTCAGTTCACCTTCGACACAAAAGGGCTCAAAAGTCGACAAAAATCAAACAGTGCACCAAAACCAGTGTGCCTTCTTATTACTCCCGCAAGTTGCTGTAAAATATTACTTGTAGGTATTTCGAAACGAATTCCAAGCATTACAACAAGAACGTTTCGCATTTAACCAACGCACCAACGCATTCGGGATTTAAACGCACAATAGCATCCAGGCAATGGCACAGCGGGAGAAAATAAATGCGACTATGTTTCATTTTATCCAACAAAGGAGCATCTCATCATCTGTCACCCAGCAGCAATTTAAGCAAGATGGTGCAATAAATGGCTTGGAAAACAGGGTACAAAAGCAGGGCCAGGGGCCGATTCGAGATGGCGCACTAGGAAGCTAGTAAGACTAGGCGGCCAAGTGACACTTGAATGTAGTGACACTAAGCGGTATTTTACACCAATCGGCTAGTGGCTCAGCGCGAACCGAAATCGCATAGTGACGCTTGAAATCAAGTGTCACTAGGGCCTTAGTGCGCCAACGCGAATCGGTCCCAGATAGCTTCATCCTAGCTCCGTTAACGTTATGTTATCGTCACAGTATTGCTGTTTAAAATGACCAGGCTCTGGCTTCTGCCGAACACTGGCTTCTGCCAGTGACCCGTCACAATTTGGACAGGTAGATCGGAAATAATACAGAAAATGCAGGGGAGTGCTACTTTTTTCATACACGAATATCGGTGTTTGCAGCATGAGTTAAGTTTCATTATTTTTAACTTTGTTAACAATGATCAAGAAAACTTGCAATGCATTGCGGATCTTATCAACCATAAAATAAAACAATTAACTGGCTGTAGGAATCCCACACCTTAAAGGGACTATCCCACCTTTAACATGGGGTTTGAGTTGAGATAGCCAAGTTTGCGGCGAGGTTCAGAAACCACTATCTATCTAGGTTGCAACCCCCGCGGCCTCTAGGTGTTGAAGAAATTCGTTCCCTTCATTTGAAAATGGGCCTTGTACAAGGCCCTATCTTCAACATGGAGCGACCGTTAGTGTGACGTCACCTCGTTTAGTCATTCTGATTTAAATGGGTTTGTTCGTTGAAAAATCGCTTAAAACTTGGTCTGAACTTTGTTGTGGTGCCTACAGAGTAAAAAGAATCAGCTTTATGACAGTAATGTGGCCTGGGGAAGGAGGTTATTTTGGCTGTGACGTCACATATTTGAAAGTTTGTGTTTGGAATACGGGAAGCCTAAGATGTTTAATGAAAAATAAATGCCAGAACCGTGTTCCTGGTCATCCAATCTATAAAGTCGGGCACAATTTAACTGGTTTTAACAACATTTTAGTCTTTAGAAGGTGGGATAGTCCCTTTAAAAAGTAAAAACACCGACAAAAACGAAGAGGCAGTCCAGCATCTCTTCTAGAAACAACAACGCAGCTCAGAAAACACTCCATCCACCCCGGACCCCCCACAAAAACACGCAGATTACGTGTGAAAAGCGCCCCATTTCCACACACCGCACGCGCGCGGCTCTTTTTGGTAAACACCTCAGCAGACGCGGGCGGTACCGTAACTGGCTCAGCAGTCGGGGCTGCCAGGCGCACCCCCCCCCCCGCCGCGGGGTCACCATGGGGGGGGGGGGTGAGCACGCGGACGTCGCGTGCAGGGGACGCCGCTTGGCGCGTCACCAGAGCCGTGCCCAACGCACGACCCCGCCCCGCCCCGGCGCGAACATTATCTCATTATCTCCCAGAGTTACCACCCCCGTTTCCATTTTCTACCAACACATAAGGAGGAATA